GTGGGTCTAGTAACCAAACCGTGAATGTGCATTAATCCCAGATTATTTACAGCTGGTTTGAATGAACCGCCCTAATTGAGCGCGGCTTGGTGTTAGAGCAACTGATTACAGCTGTTTACAAGTTGAAGGCTGGTTCAAGCTCGGCTTACAGCTCATATCCTGAATTTAGAAATCTTACTCTTGTGCAATAGGCCTCCGCTTTGTCTCTGTGTCCTCTGAGTCCAGAAGAATTCTTATGAATAAAACGGTTTGATTAAGAGGAGAGATTCTGATTGTCCTTGTTTCTGGATCTTCATCATTAAGACCACTAAGAAGTGTTACCAGAACCTGATGTGTGTGTGGACTGTCTCTGTCCTCCAGCTTTGTTTTGTCTCTTTGTCTTTTCAGACCTCCAACAGGAACCGGTCCACAAGACATGGATCCTCACGCAAAGGAGGAACTCCAACCTGGACCAGGAGAAACCGGTACCAGAACCTCCACAGTTTGAGGACCAAGAGGAACTAGAACCTTCACAATTTGAAGACCAGGAGGAACCAGAACCTCCACAGGTCAAAGTAGAGGATGAGGAGCTCTGCACCAATCAGGAGGAAGATCAGCTCCACCTGAAGCAGGAGACTGATCCGGTTCTGGTGACTGATTTATATGAAGAAAGTGAACCAGAACCAAACAAGGAGCAGCTCATCTCTCAGAGTTCTGCTGGACCTGAGGACCAGGATCAGGCTTTAGGGTCAGATGAGAAGATGGATCACAMAGAGRGTCATCATGGTAACCAAACAGGCCAATCAGCAACATCTGAGAGGTTGTTTTCTTGTCTAATCTGTGGAGAAACCTTTTTAAAGAACTCCCTTTTGATCCATCATATCAGGGTCCACAAAGTCTGGAACCAKGACTCTGATAAACTGATGTATTGTTGTCCCACCTGTGGGAGAGAGTTCTCTGCCTATAGTCACTTAGTGGTCCACATGAGAACCCACACGGGGGAGAAGCTCTTTCTCTGCAGGTTTTGTGGAAAGAACTTTACCACCAGTTGGAACTGTAAAAACCACATGATGACCCACACAGGAGAGAAGCCGTTTCCCTGTAAAACCTGTGGGAAATGTTTCAAACAAACCTCCTGTCTGACGGTGCACATGAGGACGCACACGGGCGAGAAGCCGTTCTCGTGTCAGTTCTGTAGAAAACAGTTCATCTCCAGTGGGGACTGTAAGCGACACGTGATGACCCACACAGGAGAGAAGCCMTTCTTCTGTAARACCTGTGGGAAATGTTTTAATAGAAACTCACATCTTAAAACTCACATGAAAGTGCACAGGTGAGGTGGAGAGGTTTCACAGAAGCAGCTTTTGTTGTTTGCTGCCGAATTGTACAATAACGCTAAATCAACACATTTACCCWCTGATTGTGTTGCTGCTACAACAAATCACATCATGTGACCAACACGCACTCCAGCTGTTGTATAATGGCCATTTTTAATCACTACCCTACATATTAATCTAAATCTTTGTTCTTAAATGTTTTAAATGCAGTAATTCAGACTGACATGTATTTCAGGTAGCAGATGTGACATTTAACTAGGGCTGTTTATTGGCAAGAATTTGGCGATACGATACATATCATGACAGAGGGGTCTCGATACGATATATCCCGATATATTGCGATTTTTTTGTCCAAAAATTCTATTAAATAAAAACCTCTTACAGGGGRAAAAAATGAAAAACCAAAATTAATCGTCTCAGAAAGTTCTAATATTACATAGACATACTTTTGATACATTTAGCTGTGTTCTGCTTTGTATGTGTTTTATTTTATTTGTTTCATAT